ACGTTATAATAACATCTTTGCAACGGTTTCTTTCGCCGGTTCATCTCGATATTAGTGTTTTATGACAATAAGTGTTTTATGGCTTATATATTGAATATAGATATTTTAATTTTGTTTAGTTAACATTACGTTTAAAATACAATTTAGGGATCGTCCATTAATCACGTGAGGCTCGAGGGTGGTGCAGGGGTTCAGAAAAAATCATGAAATATCACAAGGGGGATTTCGAAACAGAAAAGGGCGTGTGGTCTATACACGCCTCGGCCAGGCAAAGATTTTCCCGCCCGGCAGAAAAAAGCCTGTACTTTTATCACGGTCCTTAATTTTTTAGGATAAAATTAGTAAATTATACTTAGCTACATATAAAGATAATAATCTATATTTTTAAGATGGATAAGAGGAGGTGGAGGGAGGTCAGACTTAAACCTCACCTGTTTCACCAGGGTTTTTAACGGTGGTAGGGCCACGCAGCAGCCTCGGTTGTCGCACGAATGGGCAGGCTCGTCCGGGTTCCTCACAGAAGACCGACAGAAAGTGGAAGTATAATACTTTCGCGTTTCGTCTGGTGAGTGAGGTGGCCGGAGCACGATTTTCACTAGGTTGTCAACGCATCTGGAACCCTCAGGTGTATCAGATGGGCGGCGGTATTCACTTATCAGGTGAACCGTCTGCTCGCTTGGCAAATTTTCACATAAAAAAAACCAGGGGTTGAAAAATGCTAAAACATCACATGGACGGCCCCTTACCAACGACGGTATTGAGTATATCGCCGTACGAGAAACTTTTTGGATATAACTTATTTTTACAAAAACATTCCGTAGCATTTGGTATATGTCCCACACCAGAACCTATCTTGAGTGACGTGCAATTAATCACTACATAATAAGTCAATGTACTTACGAACAAATGAACATTGTAAAACAACAGATGTAAAATGGCCTAGAGATAACCGTTAACCTGGGTTCTTGTTTAAATATAAAGCAATAACAATAACCTCTGTTCCTTGCAGTTCCTCTGTTCTTAAGGGATAGGCAGAGGCGGGTAAAGTTATTCGAGTATTCAAGCTTCACCCGTGACAGACCTCTATAGTTATGGGAGATGTAAATGCACTTTATAATTAAGTGCTTAAAATAGGCAACTTCATTGGTGCTGGCACTGACGTTTGAACTTAGGGAGCTCTAGGGAGCGATATTGAATTAAAATCGAGCACCCGGACACTGAGATATCTTGTGTGGTTGGTTATGTGCTAATAAGCACATAACTAACTAGCTTTTCGCCCGCGGCTTCGATCGCGTTGAAGCCCTTAAAGAAATCTTTCTTTAAAATTTTTTTTCAATAAAAAATAGCCTTTGTCCTTTCTCAGGCTCTAAACCATTTGTGTACCAAATTTCATTTAAATCGGTTTAGTAGTTTTGGCGTGAAAGCGAGACAGACAGACAGAGTTTTCTTTCGCATTTATAATATTAGTATGAATGATATCATGTACAAATACTAGGTAGATATGACACTAGCGCGCCGAAACTGAGGCTTTCAAATTTTATCAATTGGTGTAATTTCTCTTCTGCTCTGTCCGATTCTATCTATGGCTAGCGTACGTCAAATGCAACTGAGTTGAGACTGCTATCTCTTTCTTTTCCGTTGCCCTTCTTTAAAACACCATTGTATATGACGTCCTAAAAATACGGTTCAAACAGAGGACCCCGCAATGGAGGTCGTCTTTGAAAGGAATGAAACGCGCCAGAAGAAACAGTATAAAATGTATTTGCCGCGCGTCCGCTCCACGGACGCGTCTTCTGTATCAACGGCGCACACTGCACGCAGACGACTTTGCTCGCTGAATCTTCTTCAGCAGGATCTGGAAGAACGCACGCGAAGAACCTACTCTTATTTTTTCCCTGTTTAAAGCAAATACTCGACGGATTTAATACATTCTTGACGTAATGTTTATCGACTCTCGATATTTATATTTTATCTGTGGTAGGGCCACGCAGCAGCTTCTGTTGCACGTATGGGCAGTTTTGTTCGACGTACCATGAGTTTAAGTATTATACTTTAGCGTTTCGTATGTTGAGTAAGGGAATCGGGTCCCATTTTTAAATAAAAAGAAAAGTAAAGTAACAGCCTATACATGTCCCACTGCTGGGCAAAGGCCTCCTCTATACAGAGGGTATCAGGGCATAGTCCACCACGCGGCCCCACTGCGGATTGGCGGACCAAAAAACACCAAATTGTATTTTTTGCAGAAAAATTAACAAAAACTTTCGGCGCTGCGAGTTTCGCGCCCAGACGGTTTACCAACTAAGCTAAGCGCGAAATTCTCGACAACTATCTATATACTTTCTATTGCATTTTTAGCAATGCTTGGCGCCATCTAGTGGAACAAGAAACTCCCAAACTCGGAGCGCTAAGCGATACCGAAAAAACTCCACTCCACACCCTTGAATCCACCTATCTCGCTCCACTCCTGACTCCTCCTCTACCACCTTCAACTTGTCCCCCGCGCCCTCACAGTATGCATTCAAAGTGGGCTCAATGAGCCCATTCGGAGCCTAATTATCGAGGCGATCTGAGACCACAAGCCCGCCCAGTGTCGATCCTTTTGGCTACGCCGATAGGCACTGTCTTTACTCCGCTCAAGATGCTTTTACACGGTTTAACACCTAACCTGATTCTAAACCACACTAACTGGACAATCAAAGTATTGAGAGTCGTATTGATAGGAGTCTGGTAGTTTTTTTTTTTTATGTGAGAAAATGGCAAGCGACCTGGCGGGTCACCAGATGTAAAGTGATAAACGCCACCCATGGACATTTGCTATTACCCGTACGGTTTCAGATGCGTTGTTTTTCATTTTCGTTGGTTTTCAATAAAATGGGCCCCGGTTACCTAATCACCGAACAAAACGCTGAAGTATAACACTTCCACTTCACGCCGGCCTTCTGTGAGGTCGTGATACCTCCTCAGACGGACCTGCTCATTGGACATGCAACAGCTAAGACTGTTACATCGCACCACCACGGGCAGAGTTCGACTTTACTCACAACAACAACTCTAAACCATGCCGAGGCCACTCACCATGTTGTCCCGGTCGATCTGCCTCTGCTGCAGCCTGCGGTGCACCGCCGCCGGCGGCGCCGCCCTCCTGGGGGGCTGCTCCCTCGGCGGTATCGAGGACTTGCGCACGTTGCGTGCGCTCAGGATCTTGTTCAGCAGGATGTGGTTGTGCCTCTCGATCTCGCGTAGCCTCTCGTTCGTGAAGGACATGTTGACGCGCCGCGTCGCCGGCACCGACACGGAACTGGTAGCCATGCCGGCGTAACACCAGAGGTGAGAGGATAACCCAGAGGATGCTCCACTAAGGAGGCAGCTCAAAGCCTAGACGCCTCTGAAGATCGTCCAAGTTGGCGCAGCGTAAGCGTGCGAAAAGCATTTACGGTATAACGAAGAGTTACGTCGTTATTCCGTATTGTGAACAGTTTTTTAAAGGATTTTTGCAGTTGATTATACAGGCGCAGAGGGCGCGGAAGTAGCCCCTCGGGAATATTGTTCGCTTTTTTATTTGTCAGGTACAAATTCGATTATTTTACTTTGGAATAGCCACGGAACAGCATCTGCTGTCGCGCGAATGGGCAGGCTCGTCCGGGGACGCTCATGGGATCACAGAAGACGGGTCTAAAGTGGAGGTATAACACTTCTTTATTACGGCTGGTGACTGAGGTAACTATTCTCACAGTGGATTCACAAGGTCAGCAAATCATCTGCAACCCCACAGGAGTCGTAAATACCCATTAGCGGCGGGAATCACTTAATATCAGTTTAACCACCTGCTCACTTGTCATCTTCTGATATAATTATGAGCACCACTCACCCGTAGTCAGAAGACCGGCCGGAAAGCGAGGGCTGCTTATTAGCTGAGCTACTTGATAGACTCTTCGACAGTTTCACTAGAGGCTTCGCAGCCGGGGCAACGTTTATTGCATTCGCTGACTGAATTTTCTTAATCTCTTCTTCTACCTCACTTTTGTCCTCCTCGAACTCGTCCGAATATGTGGCATCTTCATGCTTATCATTGTCTTCTGGCAAAGATTTTTCATCGTCCTCTGCCTCAGATTTGTCATCCTGTCCACCTGAATCGGATTCCTCGTATACACAGGTTTCGATGCATATGTTGGGAGGCCTTTTGACAGCGTCCACTATACACCCCATCTCTGTGAAGTTTTTCGAGAGCTCATCGACCTCGTTATTATTCTCTTCCCGGTAGTGCTGTTTGGATTTCATGTCATTAGAGTCTCCAGACGAGTACGTCATGTCAATATAGCCATTTATGTCTACCTCTGCCTCACTACGAGACATCGTGCGTACAAGCGTGCAAATCTTTTACTGCTAAAAATTGAAAATTATTATTTTAAATGTGCGAATTAATAAATAATACTAATTACAGTTCCATAAATTTCATCCCAAAAGCATGAATTATATTACTTGTAGCTACTATAAAAATATGCGTCTATATTTTTCTGGCCTCGCGTTGTTACTAATTATTAAATATGTCTAAATTATTAAAATCTTTAATATGATATCGAAAGCGTATATTTTACTAATAAAGGAAAGAAACGCAACAAAAAAATCGGCATTTTATATAGATGTTTGACAGAAATAAAATTACATATGTCAAAATATTTGATATTAGAATATCACTTTAACTGATTAAGTTATGGATTTAAACAGCCAGACACACATCACAATACTTGTTAAATTAACAATAATAAAGCAGTTTTTTTTAATTTCATTTAAAATCTATCAAGTTAACTTAGGTAGCATGTAAACAAGCGCCATCTGTTCAATTGCTGTTCCCGTTGCTAAGATACGATACACGTTCGGATACATTGTTGAAGCTATTCTGACGATATTGAACTTAGAATCATTTACCATGGCAATCAATAACAACTATAATATATTTATTGAACACAATTGATCTAATATTTACAAGATAAAATCTATCTAAAATTACATATTATCTAATAAACCTAATCCACGCGGCATAGTGCCAAAAACGCTAGCTGCATATCCTATCTGAATAGTTATGCTTAACCTTTGAGCCAGAAAAGAACCAGCTCTCTTGTCACCAGCCGCGGCGTTAAGTCTAGGACATAAACTTTTTAAAAAATTTGATGTGTGGGGACCCCATGGACCTAAAGTTTCAACAGCGAATGGCACAAATCCAATGACATAATCTAAACATAAAGACTCATATTTGCGCCATTTACTTACTTCAGCTGCCTCCGATGCCGCCCCGGCCCTAACCGAAGTACCCCTTAGATAAGAGACAGCCAAAGTGTCTACACTGACACCACAAGGGCATTGGTGTGGTTGACAAATCGGTGCCCCCAGACGGATTCCTACAGCAATGCGTAAGCTTTCATCGTCAAGTAATGTGCCCAAGTTACTTGATGGTAAAGCGGGAAGCCAATAAGTCGATTCTTTAAATGAGACGCCTAGGAAACGGGCACGCTCTAAATTACTTTCTAAAGATTGAAACGTATCTCTCTGTACTCTCCGCACCAAAGGAACATCCCACTGTTTTTGTAGGTTTACTTCCAGTGAGATATTTTCCTTGGGGCAGATAGACAGCCAAGACATCCTTGCCTCCTCTGCATAGGAAAGATCCGAATCGTGATTAAGGATGTTATTACATAAATCTTGAGTCCAGCTTAATTCATTAAGAGATAAATTTAGAATTTTTTCTAGAGCTGATTTAATTTCGTTCAAAAAGTCACCGAATTTCCAAACTGGACTCGAGCGAAGGAGGTACGTAAATTTAGGTACAAGAATACAATGTCCCAAAATAGTAAGCGCAATATGCGAATTTAGTAAAAACAATTTATTAAGATGATCTAGAAATTGATTTAACTTTAATTTTAAATGTGGTTCCAAACTCGGTATCAACAAAGGAGAACCTAAGAGGTAAAGTGAATCTGAATGGACAACGTTAATAACGTACTACGTTAAGCGTACCATCGTCTAGGTACCAGACGTTTAGATTTCAATTTTGAAATAATTGGATGAATTCCCAAGAATTGAAATGAATCATTTAAATATAAACAAGATTAAATCTATTAATTAATTAATTATATTACTATTATTTCTTACTAGCTTTTCACCCGCGGCCTCGCTCGCGTTGAGGCCTTTAAATAAATATCTTTCTTAAAAATATATATATTTTTAAAGAGAGATATTTTCAACACTTTACAACAATTTTTTCCAATTACAAGATAGCCTATGTCCTTTCTCAGGTTCTAAACTATGTGTATAGCAAATTTCATTTAAATCGGTTCAGTAGTTTTGGCGTGAAAGTGAGACAGACCGACATAGTTACTTTCGCATTTATAACATTAGTATTGTTACTACTTTGTTTCTCCTGAGTCCGGGTCGTTTACGCACGGATCTTTTCAACATAGCTGTTAATAGCGCCGCACAGTGGGCTGAAAATCGATGTTCAAAATAAAGACGTCCATTTTGAAATTTCCTTATTTTTGTTGGATTCCGCTTAGCATACCAATAGTAAACTCAAATACATATGATAAACGTTAATTTGGTATATCAACTGATGATTCACAATTTTTTTTGCGAAAAATTCAATTACCTTTGTAACTCCAAGTTAAAACGTAATTTCCATAGTAGAAAGGTTTAATTATTAAGTTTTGGTGATATCGATTTTCGCCCTTTTTTAGTTTATGGCAACATCAAAGTTGACATCATGTGTCAAGTCAAGTGTTATCCATTCACTTCAACAATCACCATTCATTCACATTTCACTCCATACTTCAATTTATCATTATCTTTATCGCATTCGCAAGCGAGAAAGAAAATATCTGACCTGACATTGAAGGATTTGAAAAATTGTTTCAGTGAGAATGTTTTTCTTTGTTATACTGTGACCAATTATTTAGATCTAACTGATGAAATACTGAAAATGGTTACCATAATAAAGAACCAGCTGCTAAAACACTTATCAAGGTAGGAATTTTCTTAATTATAATAATGTCGAGTACAGACATACAGTTCGAAGAACAGTTAATTATAATAGTCGAGTTTACTGTACACACGTTTTTCTATCATTGACTTGTCTTATCTTTTAAGACTAAAATATTGATATATACTTCTCAATAGTCAGCATTGAAATACTACTACCTGTTAATGTATACAGTCCATTTTAAATGTTTTCTTAAAGGCCGAGATATCAGTACGAACTAGTGAAATATATAGTATGTATAGTTACCACCAAATTACATGTTTTCTAGATACACAAAGAATTTGTCTCCAGAACAAATTTCATTGTCGGCTCTACGGGGTTCCGGAGAACTGCAAGACTTAACCTTAGACGAGGATCTTTTGACCGATCTTCTGGAACTTCCTGCATGGGTGAGGTTGACATCAGCAAAATGCAACAGAGTGTCATTCAGAATTCAGTGGACCAAACTGAAAACTGTCCCCATCATTCTGGTAAGCATAATTCTATTTTAAAAGGACCATAAGATAAAATGTTTTAATAACCTTTAAGAGTTCTTTTAACTATATATCTAATCAGTTAGGTTCTTCAAATTATAAGCCATATAGTAATATTTTTGCCATAACATTTTATGTTTACTACTTAATATGAGCTGAGATAGCTCAGTGTGCGGGTGCTTACCTTCCATTCAATATACTCAAGCAACCTGAGTTCAATCCATGATGCCTGCACCAATGAAATTGTTAATTTTAAGTGCCGAATTATCACGTGCTCAGCGGTGAAGGAAAACATCGTGAGGAAATCTGCAATATTTTCGAAATAATAACAAAAAAAAAGATATGTGAAGTTCGCCAATTCGCAGTAGGGCCGCGTGGTGGACTATGCACTAACACCCTCTGTACAGAGGCCTTTGCTCAGCTGTGGGACATGTATAGGCTGATACTTACTTAATAAATTAACACTTTATGGAATGGCCTCCTCATCGCAAAAACCTAACTCAGATATTTATTTCATAATTAAATGACTCAGCTTTGGCATCATTGATATTTTTGTAGAATTTTCTGTAGTATCCTATCTAAGAATCAATAATAAATACTACTGTTGCTCATTTTTATATGCAAAAGTGTTTTTCCAATATTAATAATCTATTGAATTTTTTAAAGCTGTTGGCTTGGGACCAGGGTTGTGGGTTTGGTTCTCATATGAGTTAAATATTTATGTGGCCCTCAGTTGGTTCCGTAAATTTGGTAGTTGTCCGGTTGGTGGTTGTTAATAAAAGTTTAGCCAATACCACTAAAACATGATTCATATGTGTGGACCACACCTAAATAGTATAAGGGCAGGAGTATTATTATGATTCACTTTAACAAAATCACATTGTTGCAATGCTAACTGCTCCTAATGTTGGGAAATCCTTCTCCTTCTTTTTCTTTGAATTTTTTTTTCTTTTCTTTTAATTTCCTTTTTTGTCAATCAGCAATAGATGATTAAAACAAAACCAGTCATTATTAACTTAGAAACTGACACTTTATAAATCATAGCAAAGATGTGTAAATTGTTTTTGTATGTAAATATATAAATAAGGATAAGCCAATGCTATGCGGGCCTATTATGTTTATAAATTGCATGTATATAGGCCAAACACTCAGGTCTTGTACAATTAACTTAATAGTTCTTCCAAATCTCTATCACCTTTGGGGAATCAAACTGACTAATTACATGACTTCGACAGTTGCGCTAATCAAATCTACCAACAATAAAAGGCAATTTAACAAATATTCCTGTAGTCATGAAGTTTTGTGTACACTTTTGGTAGCTAATAAGAGAACCATTCATACCACAAAAGGCCAGCAACCTTTGACATCTAGTGTATCAATGTCCATATGCAGTGGTATCATTCACAATTGGATAAGTAGCTAGTTTTTTTGCCTCCTTGCCATAAAAAGTCCTTTTAGTATAAAGTGGACCATGGTGGCCAGTGGTGGCCTGGTAGCTGGGAATGTCGACTGTTTGAAACAGCTGCCAGTTTGAATGCTGTGTCATATAGGTGCTCATTTCATACCATCAGGGGAAACATTGATGAATGGGAGCCTCATTGATACCAATGGGATTAAAACGCATGTTCTAACGTATGTACTTCGCACATACTTTTCACCGTTAAAGTAACATTGGTTAAAAGTATGCAAACATCGCGTTTTTAAAATTAAGTTCAAATATTCACTCATTACTTAAAGATATTTTTATTGTTTGAATCACCTAATCGGTATACATATTAATTAATTTACATTTTGTTGCATGAAAAACGTCCTTCATTTTTACACTACTTAAGCTATTTTTTTAACAAGTTAAAATTTACAAAATTTGTTATTTAATTAGTGTAATTTATTAGGAAATATGTTTTCTTTTTAAATATTAAAATTCATCGACCGTAAACTATACTGGTATCGCTATTATAAGAGTAAAGTGTCACTCTTTTTATTATCAATGGACGAAAAAAATTAGTTAAGTTCTTGACGTTTACGTTTTGAAAACATAAATACTTAGACTGAACAGTGGTCTGTGTTCTAGTTTTTTATGACCTATTATTGCCGGTTACGATAGACTACAACTCTGTATATTCAAGCAAGCAGAGTGCAAATCCTGGTGCCTGATACATAAAATTGTTGCCACTAACTAATGTTTAACACTTTTTGTACAAGAAACTTTGCCCACTAGTGGGTCTCGTGTATAGGTTGCGTTACTCTGCTGCTGGTGTATATAAAATGTATGTGTTATCGTCTGGTGTTGCCGCCGTCAGAAGGGAAATGGATTCGTCTTTGTTCTGAACCAATTAGGCATAACGAAGCCGTATGTAGTATTATAAACACCATCGATTGAGCGACGGTCTGGCCAACGACCCCATTGATAGGGCTATGCTCGTTTTAAAAATAAACTTGTAGACGCATACGATCAGATCTTATTAAAATTTGATGATTTCGCTCTACAACTTAGATCATGATTTAATTCTCGTAATTACATGCTGGCGAGTGCTTAACTGCATTTATACCTCGTAATAAGTTTTGTTCAGGTCGAAGGTCAGCAATGTAACTTTATAAGTATTGAAGTAATGAAATTTTGCTTCTCAACTATTCGATTAAAATTTTACATTGAGAGATTTTTCTTACGCGAAGCTTAGAACTTTCTAGTTCGTTAATGTTTTGTTCTATGAAAAATTACATTAATTTTGACAAAATATTTAAATACATTACATTTATTTCCCGCCAAAACTATAAGCCTTTTTGTGATATTTTTGTTCTTGTGTTCAGCAACATTCGTTCAGTAACGTGTTGTGAGAGGAAATAAAAAAAAATTCTTAATTCGAGATGATCTTAGTATTTACCATATTTTAAATATCATCATTATAAAAAAAAAAATCCAAAGCCAGAATTGATATGTTTACGCGGTAGAGGAAAATGAATGACCTATTTATCGTCGTTAGGCTGTCATATAAGAACCTAAGGAGAACGGTTAGAAATTTATCTTTTATTATTCTTAAAGTGTGTTCTGTGGAAAAAAGAGGTGAAGGATTGTTCTGGTTTTAGTAAATTTATTGCAACGCGACAAAAGTCAAGGTGCTAAGTTAAGGCACGAGTACTTCGTAGTACCTAACGTACGAATACGTACTTCTTATTTCACTTGCGTACTTGCGCCGATTGTAGATAATGTTTATTCTAACAAGGTTTTTCAATTATTGCGAAAACTTGATTGATACTAATATCGCAATGTTTGATTTACGACTTTGATAACTAATTCAAATATGGTTGCTAATGTACATATTTATCTATTTACTTTATTGGAGACAAACGGGAACAAAAGACAAGATAAAAATTAAAATAAAGGGTACAGTTACAGCTGTTTCTTTAAATTAATGTCTCACAGAGAACAAGTATGTTATTTGTTAGAAGTATACTTACAGTAGAAATATTCTAATTATCGACTAGCATTTTACCTGCTTAAATAAACCTTGTTTGGACAAGGCTGCAGTTTCTGCTGTTACTTTGGGGGAGGGGGCAGGTGACTTTAAATCTTACGGACTGCGACTGTCATATTATTTTTAAAAACGGGCCTCAAATTAAAGTAATTGGTGAACTCTGGCTTAATTCAGTTATTCGTCTACTCTCTACGTCATCGTAGTAACTAGGCTGGGCCCTGGGTTAATGCTCATACGACAGCAGTATCTCCATTACATTTCGTAATTTCTGTGCATCATTCGATAGCGGTGTGCTGCCACACCCGCCTCAATATGCAGGGCTTGCGTAGAACCTAAATTGTCGTTGCTTGCATCTTTATTTAATTCCCCGTCTAGACACTGCAGGACCATCCCTTTGTTGTTGACATTCCACGCCTTCGCACAGCAAAGGAGTGGACTGTAGAACAGTTTGTCAGGATCAGTTTTCCCATCCGGTCATAATCATCATCTGCAACCCTACGAGTTTTGCAAATGTCCATGGGCCGCGATTATCACTTAACATCAGGTGAACCACCAGCTCGCTTACCACCTTCTTACATTAAGAAAACAATGCAATAGAGCAAGTCTTGACAATCTTGAAATCTTCTGCTTGCATCATATCATTTACCAATTTTTATTAACGTATACACTCCAATGTATAGCATTATGTCGGGCGTTGTGTGATTAAGACTGGTATTGGAACAAAGGCATTCGAAATGCCGCATGAATTTTTATCGCTCCGTTATAGGCGTCGCGATAGTTATGCCGTCAGCCACTTCAAAGGAGGATGCCATATGCTCGAAGCTATGCTTGAAACCGTTCAATCATATGGCCCTAGACAATTTCTGTGGCATTAATGCTCACGAAACTTCGCCCAGATCTGGATGTCATTAAGAGCGGGAGCCAAATGCGTTCATGCGTTCCGAAAACAATGTTGTACTCGACTCCGTCCGTATACACGTGTGGTATTGGTTACAATGTGACGTTACGAAAATCACTACATAATATAAAACAAAGTCGTCCCACTGTCTGTCTGTTCTTATGTATGCTTATTAGATCATTAAAACTATGCAACCGATCTTAATGCGGTTTTTTTTACTAGATACAGTGGTTCAAGAGGAAGGTTTATATGTATAATATTTTTCATTGCACCCGTGTGAAGTTAAGTATACAGCGTGTCGTTACCATCGCGACAATAAATGAACACACGTCTAACGCTACTTGCCAATTATCATAAAAAATAATAACGTTAAACAAAATCCATAATTAAAAAAAAATATTTTTCAAACAAACTAATGAAGTAAAAAAGAAACAAAATTTGTAACATCCTATACAATTCGCGCTTCAGCGTCGTATTACAAGCCTCTCCTTCTAACAGTATGTTTTGTCTCTTTTAAATTCATTCAACCCATTCATATGCTTTGTGACCTTTACAAATGAACTTTACGTTACAGTGTTATGCGTGTTTGAAGAATGTAAATGTTTAATAAAATTTAAAAAAGTTAT